TTTCTAGTGATTAAAAAATCTTCAAAAAATGCACACGATCTAAACTATGTACATACTAATTTTTGTAAAAGTTTCAAGGCCGTAGCACCTCTCAATGAGAAGATATAGGTGCAGAGAAACATTTGTCAGGCACTGTATTGAATTTGGCATGTATCAAAATAATATAAATTTTTTTATTATTATGTTTAATAAATTTTATTCTTAATAGAAATATATAAACTTTATTATAGTATATGTTTATAAGTTGTTTTTAATACTGTACAAGAATTTTTATCAGTCTACTAACTTGTACATAGATAGCTTTTTCGCATTATACTACATTATATAGTGAAACTAGACTGATAACTAAATACAGTAAATAATTTTAAGTGCTAAAATGATTTTTATTTTATTTTATTTTATTTAAAATATCACATTACAAATTAAGTTTTTTTTATATTTTATAATATATACAATTCAGAAATTTCGTAATACAAAAATTTTTTAAACTTTTATACACTAAATAAAATTTACAAACAGTGAATTTAATAAAAGTTTGAGATACTTAGTTTCAGAGATTGTTTCTTTTACTTGTCCCAACCACCATAAAGAGGTGTATCTCATTGGTTGGGAAGGTCATAACAGAGGTTTAGGCATTGAGAACCACCCAATAACAATTTGGATATAGTTTTATTTTTTTAAAAAAAATTAAATGCCGCCTAACGTATTATACCCCAACTATTCTCTTCTGTGCCTCCCATACAGCAGGAGCAGGTTGTTCTTCACAGAAACAAAGCATTTACTTACCGGTAGTTCGCTAACAAAAACCTCTCTGCCCAGATTTTTTAACTCTCCTTATACAGAACCAGTATATCTAGACACAGAGGAGGTAAAAAAGCCAAATGTTATGGTGGGGAGAGAGAGAGAGAGAGAGAGAAAGTGTGTAAACAATGCCAAATTTAAATTGGTTTGACTGATCTATGGACACGTATGATTTTGCACATCTGAATATCACATGATATAGTTGTAATAAAATTTTAAACAAATTTTCTTGACAACTAACCGAATTCAATGAAAAATTTTTTAAATCAATTTTTAAGCTCCGATTCACTCATACTGTCCATTATAATCATCAATCTGTAAATTAAATAAATACAATTCAATATTATTATCACAGTAAATACCTTTTAATTCATTGTGCACCTAGTTTGTCTGAACCTTCAAGGCTCATCTCTGACATACCTGGCATCATTTACATCATTTTCACAATGGACCCATTTTAGATATAGTTTAAAATTGTTTATACATATCTCTGATAGTAAAAATAGCTAAATGTGTATACATAATCAAATCACGTATTAATATTGAAAAAGAAAGACAGCCTTATTATTAATATATAGATTTATTAAAGTTTATAACTAACCCTGCTAGCAAATTCTTATTCTGGTCTAATTTTAAATCTTCTACTTTTTCAATGAGACCAGTAAGATCACCCATACCTTTTTAAAAATTATTAATAACGTAAAAAATAAATAAAAATGCATGTTCTAAAATTTACACACAACTTCACCCTAGTAATCAACCTGTGGCTCAAATAACTCAAATTTATTATGATTTGAATTATGAAATTTTAACTCATGAGTTACTCGCAAATTAAATATATTTACTCGAATAAAAATTATTAAGTAATTCAATCGTGCGATTTGAGTACTCTTCTAAGTTTAATTTGTGAGTTAAAATGAGTCTAGTCCTTTACCCCTTAAAGCAGCCATCATATAAATCAACGAGGAATATTTTATATCAGTAAATTAAAATCCCTGAAGATTTTTATATAAACAAAATGAATATCAAATATATGTTTAAACCTCAGAGTACTTCCAATAATGATACTTGTTACAGCTGTTCTCAAATTCTGAGGCAAAATAAAAAATTTGCTTGTTTCCCGAATCTCTTTGGTTTCTATATAACTCTCTAGAAATTACATCATTATTCGGACTGAAGTTCTGAAGACAATAACGTAATGTCCAAAGAGTTAAGGTGACCTTTAAGATGAAATCAAAGAAATTTCGGGGAACAAATTTTTAGTTTGTCACAAAATTTATGAGAACAGCTGTAATCCAATTCTGTAAAATCTACCTCAAACTTTGCTTGTATTCTAGTTTATTTTATCTAATAGATATGAAATCTCACCAGCCATCATGGCGAATTTATGAAATTAGAGCATTTTGACCTACTATGAAATGAGTCATTTACTATTTGTTTTTTGACATTTCTTATTGTAAAATCATGTAAATAACGTCCAATCCATCTTTTCACAGCAATGTCTTTTGCAAAACAAAAAAACAAGAGCGAATTAAATTAATTTTATCTCTATAAATTTCGCTTAAAACAAATATGTAATATATAATTAATAGTACTTATCGATCATAAGACAAGCGTTGAAAGTTTTAATAAGCTCTTTAATACAAAAAAAAAGATCAATTCTAGTGCTCATTCAGTGTTCATTCTAATATAATCTCTAACTATCAAAAAGATTGAACCTTATTAGTGTGATGTATAATACTAAAAATTATTCTGGTGTCACATAAAATTTCTGTCATTAATACAAATACGTAGTCATAATTTCTTAATGTCACAAATACAGAGACAAAAACAATTCATCTTTCAATTCAATTTATTGCTATTTAGTATCTATAACGAGAAAATTTAATTTGTAAAATTACTTTATCATGATTTTAAGCATAGATATCACCTTTAAGTTGACAAGTCAAGTTTTCGTATACAGTATTTCAGTCACAATTTCAGTGTAATTTTTCACGTGTACATAATATTTTAAAAATTATGAATCCATATTATTTTACCAACAATCACTTCATAGACACATTATTTCACTGATAATTAATTCGCAGACAAGCTTATTTTACAACCAATTTGTAGATATTTCACTAAGAATTCATTTAATGGACTGTTTATTTACAAATTGATTTTTTTTTTATAGATTGCACTAATCTTAACTTTAATTCTAAATAATTTTTTTTATTAGGTTGCCTATAAAAAGATACAATATATAGTTTGATAAATAAAAAGCTCTAAAGTTGTCAATAAGTGAGGTTGTGGTTATATGATCTTTTTAATATTTAGATAAAATATATCAAAACAATTACATAATAAAATATGAAATTATATAACTTAGCTTTTGATAGATGGTGATGTCAGAATAAAATTAGTATGGTGAATTATCATTAGGTTATAACTAAATTATTGAAATAGTGATTACAACGTTTTATTACGAATATATATAACATTTGTAGCAGGCTTCAAATGGATTTTCGTCATGAAAAGAATTTTACAAGAAGCTTTTGCTTATGATGTGAACTGATTTTCCAATTTTAATTATAAAAAACGATTTTAATTCTACTTAACCCTATGATTATTACAGTACTCGAAATTAAATTAAAAGGCAAGCATATTAACAACATTTATATTGACTAATCATTCTGTTTAATATATTGATTACTTAATCATTATGAGAATTGAGAAAAATAAAGTATAGTTAATGATACACCAACAATTTGTAACACATCATAAATAGTATCAATTAAAAATAATTTTACAGACATGTAAGAAACATAACGTGGGAACAATAAAGCTCTTGCAACTGTTAATAAACAAGTGCATTAGGATGAATAGTAAGAAAAAACTTTTTAAAAAAAGGTATTTTATTGAAATCATGTTTATAATTTACCAATCCAAAGCACAAAGCTCGAAATAATTAAATTTTTGTCATCGTTTATCTTTAATTCAGAGATTACGTTTTTAATGGACTAAGGAATGGCTAATCTTTAAGTCTTGTGATTTTTTTTTATAATCACACAATACTTTAATTGAAATACTTTAATTGTAATTGAATGGTAATTAAAATTCAATCAACAAATGAATAAAATCAAAAAGCAATATAAATATATAATAAAATAATAATAACAACCGTTATTTAAAATTACATCTTTACCTGCATTTCTTTGAGTCTTCTAACTAATGCGTTACCATTAGCTGCAAATCCACTATTTGCTAATACCGTTTTTTCGGACCTGTGAATTGAAAAAATAAATTCAATATATATATTCAAAAAAAAATACGATAAATTTGATTACATTTTGTGCATATTGCGCATTTATATATTACGGTGCATTTGCGAACTACCCTAAAATTTGAAAAATCTGACTACTAATATGTAAATATAGATTTTGACTGAGATAGTTAACGTTCTCCAAGTTATGATGCGTCATTTAATAAATTCCTATGTCTAATGAGAGTGGAGAAATGGGTTAGACGCGTTATCAGTACAGATCAGGGGTTTGAATTTTTTTTGAGATTTTAACATTGATTAATATATAATTTGGTAAATTTGGTGACAAAATACTTAACCAATTGCCTGCTTAATTTTGTAAATGCGCTGTAACAAAAATAACTATTGCTTTAACGAGTATCTGAAGCTATCATACAAAAATCATCCCCTGTAATCGTCACTGCATTACTACTATATATAACAAAGATGAACGAACGGGTTAAACATTCGAAGACTTGTCAAATTTCAAGATCACAAAATAATAGTTACCGCCATTAGCTTTATATGGATAAAAGTTATGCACAGTAGGCACTGAAGTTAAAGTCTTGTTATAAAAAATCGGTAAAAAATGAAATTAAATTAATTGAAATTGATTTAATAAAAATCGATATCGATATCGAATATACTCAAATTCTGTGTAACTTTCCCATTTTTGATGGTTACGTTGACACGCACATCACGTATACATACGTACGTCATATACGTAAGGTAAAAATTTTTGTTCGAGCCACTTTTTACTTTCTCTATAATCTCTATGATGGATGCCTTTGTGAATAGATTTAAAGGGACTACTGCTCTTTGGACCGACGAATGTAGTATGCTTGGTGATTTTGGCTCTTATGAAGCTGTTAAAAAATTCTCTCACCCAGTTTTTAAAATTCCCGCATATCAAAATGCAAGTATACATAATTGTGAATTTGTTTGATATTCTTATTAAGTGCATATACCAAAAAATCAAATAGCCTGTTAAATTTTTAAAAGACTGCACCAATAAAAATCTGATTCTGAGTGTCGTATTAAATTTGAACATGGTACAACTACACTAGCTTTCAAATTTCAAGGTGGTATCATAGTTGCTGTTAATTTGCGTGCTTCTGCCGGAAATTACATTGGTAATTAAAAAATTTTTATTGAATTATTTGATCTTTAATACATCTAATATATCTATGTAATTGCTAATTTATGTATGCCTTTTAATGTTTAGCTTCACAAACTGTAAAAAAAGTCATCAAAATCAATCTATACCTTTTAGGAACTATGACTGGTGGTGCTGCTGATTGCCAATTCTGGCAAAGAGAACTTGGCAGGCATTGTCGGTGAGTTTATACACATCAATAATATTCATAAATAATATCATGTTGATATATTATGCTTTATTATTACCATATAAGTGCGAAATAATACCCAGGGGCACTAATTCGAAAATTAGATATCCCTAAAATAGTGTATGTGGCTTCAAATTAACGCCCATGGTGTCCCGAATTAAAGCGCATCCCTATAAATAAATATAAAAAGATAAATGAGTAAAAGATGCTTCAGAATGGGTTAATATTAAGTAAATCTATTATTTTTTTTACTTTAACAAAAGTTGTTCTTCAGGTTGAGACTAGAGTAGAGATCTGTAGCCTTAAAATCCTAGCTATCCATATAATCCTCTGATCCTATGCGGATTTATAAATAAACTATCTATAAAGTAATTATACTCAGATAGACTTTGATTATCCGTCAAATATCCGGATATCCAGTTTAAATTAATCAGTGACTATAAATAATAATCATATTATGTTTATTTATTTAATCAGTGACTATAAATAATGATCATTATATGTTTATTTATTTATTTATTTTTTTTTATCATTATTATATTTCTAATACTTTTATTAAAAAATGTATACCTCTAATAAAAGATAAAATATGTCTGATTTAACATTCCCGACTCTAATATTTCTGATTCTAATGAATCTTCTGATGAAGAAGAAATTGTTCATTTGGATTTATCAGGAAAGATTAGTTGGGTGTGGACATTTTTTCGACAAGAACTTTGTAAAAAAAAATGCAAATAGATGAAATATTTAATATGTAAAATTGAAGTATCAAATGATAAAGAATGTGGAAGAAAATACAAATCATTATTAAAATTATAGCACTAAAATTGTCATTGAGCATTGCAATATATATATATATCATTGTTATTATTAAAATTTTAAATATTATTGTCGTTATTAAAATTTTAAATATTATTGTCATTATTAAAATTTTTAAATATCGATTTTATTGTTATGATCAGATATAAGGATATCTGCAAAAGGGATAACAGATAATCTGAATCTGATATTATCAGATTCAGATATATCTGTTTAAATAATATCTGCATTAAATCTAGATATAGTTATCCAGATCACTACTCTAGTCGAGATGATTCTAGTAGGGCAATAAAGGGAGTGCTGGTCCACTTTTTTCACACCTCTATATGACATATTGTTAAAACCCGCTTTAATCGTCATCCTGCTATATTTTATAGCACTTTTATATACTTTAGCTTGGTGTAAATTTTTATATAGCTAG